ACGATGATCCCTTCTGACTTTAAAGTCTGTGAATCTGTGAAATGACTAGATGGGTCTCAGTTCACACCTAATGTGTTTTCAGTGCCCATTTATGTGTACTCTCACTACAAAATAAAACGTCCTATTTCAATGAAGGTTATTCTGAAATATGAATGCCCACACACGCATGCATCAAAATAATAAAACATGCAAATTAAAATGGATCCTGTTATTTTCATTCAAGTCTATGTAGACCAGCCTTTAACCAGGGGTGGGCAATAATTTTTGATGGTAGGCCACTCCAAGAATTTGAAAAATAGTCGAGAACCACACTCTTCCATGATATTAATGGAAGAGGTGCAGGGTCTGGGGTGGAGGTTGGGTGCAGAAGGGAGCTTGGGGTAAGGGAGGAAGTTTGGGTGAAGGAGGCAGTTATGACCTGAGGCATTGGACTGGAGTGCAGGGGGTGGATTTTAACCTAAGGCAGGGAATTAGGGATCAGGAGGGGGTGCAGGGGTCTGGGCTGTGAGCTAGGGCAGGAGAAGATTATGATCTGGGGCAAGGGATTGGGGTGCAAGATCTGAGAGGGGATATGGACACACAAGGGGGGCAAAGGATTTGGGTATGTGGAGTAGGGGGGGCAAGAAGCAGGGGATAGAGGGTTGAAGAAGGGAGGGACTGGGATACCAGAGGCAGGGTCTGGCCAGGACACTTACCAGCCAGCAGCTGTTCCTGAATCAGCCTCCCTCCCTGCCTGCCCTGCCCATGAACAGGCTGCAGCCATGTGCTCTGGAGCTCCTTGTGCTTCGTGGCTGCCTGTTATTAAAACAGGAAACTCCCATCGGCCAGTTTCTGGCTAGAAACCAGCCAAAGGGATTGTGCTTGGGGTGGAAGCAGCTCCTAAAGCTTTCCCCCTCCCCTCTGGACTCATAGTTTTAAAAGAAAAACTGTCCTGAAGCCACATTTCTAAACCGCATTCGGGTGGGGTGAGGAAAGCGGAAGCCTACCTGGGGCTCTCCACAGCATCCACAGGCTGGATCTGGTGACTTGGCAGGCCAAATCCAGCCTGTGGGCTGTTATTTTGACTCGGCCTGCTATAGACACTGAATCTTTGCCCACATTAGAAACTTGTCTCAAAGGTAGCAATTCCCACCTCCTAAATTAAGCAATGGGATTCAGATTGTGAAAAAAAAATCAAGATTCTTTCCCACCAGCTACAAATTAATTTTTCTCCACCTCCCCCAATACTAACATTCTTTTATTGTTATGGACAAAGTGACAATTAAACTCCCGATTTACAGTTTAGCCCTTTTCCTTCTATTCTGCATT